ATACGGAAGTCGTTTCGAATTACATAGTATAGTCCCTGGGCATTTGTAAATTTTATAAGCTCACATTTTTTAGAGAATGTGAGATTTTTATCCGTCAAGGAAATGCTGTAGTACTATATATTTTTCACGGAAAAATTGAGATCTACATAGCTTTTGTAAGCTGTTCGAATTTATTAGGCTGGGTGAAGTTCATTATGGGCAGTATAGATTCATTAGATCTTGATTATTATTACATTTTAGTAGAAATTGCCAATTAATAATTTTAATTTTAATGTATTTGAAAATATGATTTTTAAATTTAAAAATTAGGAAATAGAAATATTTTGAAAAAATCATAAATGCAATGAAAATTTTAATTGTAAAATGTTATTAAAAATATTAAATTTATTCTTAACACATGGTCGCATAATTCTTAGATTGTGACCACATTATATTATGACCACATAATTTTTGAATTTACATAACAAATTGCGATGATTACATCATATATCAATAAATATATAGGCGCCCCTTCTACAATATTTGGATAACGTATTATACTTTATTTTACATATTATAAAATATATACTTATAACACATACTTGCTTACATAACATAATGTGAAATCTTGTAAATTTTATAATAAATGACAAGAAATGTTTCTAGAGACAAACAAAAAAAAAATCACTTAAAATGTTAATAATAATTATTTGAAATTGATTTAGAATATTATCTGACATAAGAAAATAATCATGGACCATGGTTATATAATAATGATTTAAATTAGATAATATACTTATTAAATTATAATAATATCCTTGTTTTGATTTGACGTCATCTTTAAATGCTAGGAGAAGGAAACGTTGTTATTATTAATTTAAAATTGCATACTAGAATAATATTATGGAATCTAATATATGTAAGTATATTAATTATGTGAATATTTATGTAAAGAATTAAAGGTTTATACTCGTATAATGTGTCAAATTTATATTGAAAATTAAATTTGTTGGGAAAAATTAAAATCATCATGTAACCATAAACAGATTAAATGATTCCGGAAATTAAATGTGTATATATTTTGTGAATATATTCCAGAATTTTGCCTTTAAATTAACAAAGTAGCATGGTGGAATTAATTAATTTTAATAAAATCACGTATTATACAAATTATGCATATTATTTGTTTAAATGTTCGGTTCGAACAAATTAAAAACGCAGCTATAGATGGTTTTGAAAATAACTACGTAGAAAAGACATAGAGGAGCTATTATAGTTTATTGGAGGTTTATTGAACTTTATATCGATTTTTAAAGTCAGTTGCGAAAAATTTGAGTTTTTTGGTTCTTTTTAAATCTTGTGAGAATCTAATCAGTGAACCTCAATGTGTTCTATATAGACCCCCAGTGGTCCATGAAGAAATGCTAGGGGTCTACGAAAAAATTAGAATTTAGTTAAATAAGTAACAAGTAAAGTTTAAAATATCTAAAAAGAAAATGTCTAAAATTTTAAATAAATTTAAAGTTTAAAATATCTAAAATTTTATAAAAAAATTAATTTGAAAAATTTCTGTGGCAATAAGATAAAACTCTATAAGTCGTCTTATTATGAACATTATCATATATTACAATATTTACATTCTCAAAGTTCAAGTGTGAAAAGTTGCCAAATTATATCGAGAAAATCACTCCTCATATTAGAAATAAATAATTTGGCCATATTTCGGAAACTATAAAGTGTATGAAATATTAAAATTTTGTATAAATGTGTGAAATGATGAAATTTGATTGTGGTTGTACAAGTTCTTACCATAGTTGCCATACAACTTCAAAAATAATTTGGTCATATTTAAAAAAAAAATAAACACATTATTAAAGTTTACATTGTTGCAGTAAAGCCAAAATTTTAGTAAAATTTATGCAACAATTTTTGATAATTGTCATACAATTGTTGTTAACTGTTATTACAAAATGGACACGATCAACTCCATTTTTTCTCGTTTTGACTTAGTTTTTTCTTATGCTGCAGAATACCAAAACAATCAATTTGATTCCAATCAAATTTCTTTGTCACTCCCTTTCACACAATCTTTTCTTCAAAATGTTTGTTTTTCTCCCTCTCTCTTTCAATTTATTGAGAAGGTATAGTGAAAGCGTGCGTCAAATGAAGTGTCAAATCTTCCATCATGTAATTGGAAGAGTCTGTATTAAGTCGAACTTTGAATAAAAAATTGAAAAATTCTTTTAATAAATTTTATTTTTATTTTCCAATTTATTTTTCGTTTCTTTCTTTTTTTTATATTTTTTTTTTCAATTTATTTTTATTTTATATTTTTAATTATTAAATTTATTCTTTCTTTTATTTTTTTTTTCATAATATTTTCTCCTAAATAAACTTGTAAATTTTTTTTTTGATTTCAAGTCATTCTTTTACATTGTTAAATCAATAAATTTTCGTTCTATTTTTTGTTTTTGGTTGTTGTGTGATTTTTTTTCGTCCTTAAGTAAAATCTACTTAAATTTAATATAAATTGTAGTTATAATAATAATTTTATATTATTATTATTATTATTTTATATAATTTTTGTTTTCTTTTTGCTTTTTGGTTTTCATTTTAAATATTAATTTTGGTTTCCAATTATTTAATTAATAATTTTTTTTTGTTTTATTATACTAACAGCATTTCAATTATATTTATATATGTATATGTAATTATGTGTATATAGGAAAATTAATTTATTTATGCAATTTTAATTAGTTTTTATATATTTATTTAATTTTTTAGGTTTTATTAATTTTGGTTTGAGAAAATTCCAATCTGTTACAAATCGATAATGAATTTTTTTTTTTCAAATTAATGAAAAATTTCAAAAATAAGCCCATAATATGAAAACTGTGTGATGTCTTTTATTCCAAATTTTATGATATAATGCAAGTTTTTGTTCCCATAATACGAACTTATTATTAGTATATTTAAGGGTTTTGCGTTGTATGAAAACAGGGACAAATTGGCAATGAAATTAGAAATGCAAAAACTTTGCAATTTTATGTTATAAAAAATGTCACAGTACAATAGAAAAATAAAATTGTTCATTTCTCCCCTTTATTCATGCATGGTTTGGGGTAAAAACAACTAGTCAACTTTACACTTATGTCAAAATCAATTTTTATTTTAGTTTAATTTTATGTGGTAAAATTTTTACTGACACAACTTAAACAATTACAGTCGGGGAATTTAAACAATATAAGGTTCTGCCTATAATATTAGACAATCATAGAAAGCCATATTAGTCGATTAGATGTAATTGTTTTACGGCACATATAAGCAATAAGAAAGGACATTTTCCAGATATTAAGAAAATTTTTTTATTTTAATGCTCTCATTGAAAGCAAATTTATTTTTTCTATTCCTGTGATTTTTCTCACACAATTTTATTCAGAAAAATTACTCAAATATTTAAAAATGTTTGAAGAGAGAATTGTCTCATATTATTCATATTTGTGTTCTCTCTGTATGATCATATTTTTAAATTAAATTTTGACAGTATATACACTATTTGTTGACAATTAAATACGGGAAATTCCCTTCAGTTATAAAGTTAGTTAGAGTTAAATAGCGAGGGTTAAGAAAAAGAAATTGAAAATATTTTATTTTTTGGAAATAATTGTGGAGAATTTTCATTTTAAATAATTTTTTGAAATTTTTATTGAAATTTTTCTTTTAACACAGTTTCCATTTAATTTTTTAATATTATTTATTTGTAAAGAACTGCTAAAAATAAAACAAAATGTCTACAATAATTAATATAAAAATTATTTAATATCTTTTTAGATAATTACATAAGTATAACACTTTCGTTTATTATTATTTTATATTTTTAATTTCAATATACAATAATTGTTTTTTTTTTTTACAATTTTAATTTTATAAATTTTTTTTTTGTTATTTTTTAGTGTAATGTATAAATACAGTTGTTTATTTTTATCAGTTGTTTTTCTTATTTATTTATTGTCCACCCTTAGTTTTTTTTTTTGCCTTATTTTACTATTCATATATAGTTGTGTGTTTTTGTTTTGTGTTTATTATATAATTATTTGTTTTATTTTTTTTATATATATATTTCATAACCTATAATTTTTATTGCCTAATTCTTTTAATATAAAATTATAATTTTTGATTTGATTACATTTTTGTTTTTGCTTTGTTTTTTTGTTTTGGTATTGATTTTTTCGATATTTTCTTCTTTTAATTAAATTAAATATATTGTGTTTTCTTTTATTATTTATTTTTTAAATTATTATTACTTTTTTAGTTGATTTTGCAAGTAAATAATAATTTTCGTTATTACTTTATTCTTTATTATTTATTGAATGTTTAATAATTTTCTATATTAATATTTACATAAATTTCTAATTTATTAATACATGTACCACATTATTTATTTTTATATTATATTTTACCTAATTATAATTTATTTATATTTAATTTTAATTGACATAATATACAATAAGTTTTTTGTTTTTTTTTTTGGTTTTTAATTAATTGAATTTTTTTATTTATATAAGTAGTATAACTTTGTTTTTATTTTATTGTTTCTTGTGTTATTTTGTTATAATGTTTGTTTGTTATTTGTATTTGTTTTGTGTGTGGTAATGTAATTGTATTATTGTTTTATTTTGTATACGTTTAGTGTGAATTTTATGGCTAAAGTTTTCCTCTTATGTTTTTTTTTTGGTTTTCTTTTTGAAAATTTTTTTTGAAAAATGGAATCAAAATTTGAGAAAATTTTAAGGTTTCGCATTGGTTTTTAAAAATGGATTAATAAAATTTTTTATAATTATTTAATTTATTGCAAAATTTGTTGTTTAATAATTTTTATTAATAAAAAGTTTAATTAATGCGGTAAGATATCTTATTTATTTTGCCTTTTCCTTAAATTTTCAAAAATTTCAATTTAATTAAATCGAATTTCTTGTTTTTTATTGATTATGTCGGAAATATTAAATAATTGAGTTGTACAATGTGCGCTTCTTTTGAAGCAATTTTACAATTCAATAAGAAAATTTACAAAAATTCAATTATGGTAAAATACATAGTTAAACTGCGGATTGTAATTCAACAAAGAATTTTAGATTTTGTAATATTTGAATGAATTACAAGAATTTGATAAATTTTTTCTGAGTATAGGGGTCAGTATTTTTTAAAATACGCAAAACTTCTTTCATATATTGCATATATACCAAGTTGTGTGATATTCATATAGACTATAATTTTTTGTGTACCATAGTTTAAAGCTGTTATTTCACATTAAGAGGATTGAGACAATTAACTTTAAACTTCTCGCGGCAAAAATGTATGAAAGATTTTTCTATATTAAAATAAGTGTAAAAATAAATAGTTTTCTTATGTGAATTTATTAAATGACCGCACAATGCCTATTCTGGACTCGAGCGAAGTAGTACCTTTCCAACTTGTTAGAATTATGATATTGTGTAATGCAAAAGAGAGTGAAACATCGGGTATCTCTCCCAAATTTTCATTCCAAATTTCATTAAAATTTCATGTAAAAAATTTCCAATTTAATGAAATTTTTATAGAATGTAGCTCAAAATAAAAATAATTTCTTTTTTCTTAAATTAAAATTTTTTTTTTTAGTTCTTCATCTAAAAGCTTTACAAGTTAAACAATTATTTAACAGCGTATAATTGAACAATTCCGGCCTAATTTCGGATAAATTACCATTATTTTTATATTTAATATTTTTTTTTATATCTAAATTTTATTTTGTTTTTTTAGTTTTTTTTTCTTCCCGTATAAAACATTATATGCAACATCCTTATAGTATTAATAATTTTTTTTTAACGTATAATTTTAATTAATTATTTTTTTTTTTTTCAAATAATTTTTATCTAATTTTTTTTTGTTTTTGTAATTTTTTTTTAATTTAAGCGATCTAGTTTTTTTTTATTATTTTTTATAAACCAATTTTTTTTTTTAATTTTTTTTAAGTTTTTCTTAAAAAATAAGTTTATGTTTTATTTACAAATAAATTTTATATTAAGTGTAATGTTTTTCTTTTAATTTTTAGTGTATTGATGGAAAAATTGAATCTGAATTTACAAAACCTCGATCTCTACCTCCTCGACTGCCAGGCATCGATGGTCCAATTTCTGTTTGCCATTTATTTGCTCTATAGAACATATCTTTGTACATTGTAGCACAATTGGTAGTTTGGCCCTATTGTTAATTAATTGTTATTTTTATTAAAATAAAATTTGTATTAAGATTTAATGTTTTTAATTGAAATTATTATAAAAGTTTATTAAGTTTTGAAATTCAAATGAGATTTGTGTAACAAAATTTTGAAATTTCAATTTCAAATTGTTCAAATATTCAATAATAGTAGTCGGGATTTATTTATTTGAAGATACATTTCTGTGCCTACAAGCAATAACTTTCTAAATTTTCTATATTAGTTTTTAACTTGTACTGCGCCTAAATCTGAACAATGTGCTTGATTAAAGCAAATGCGTATTTATTTTGCTCATTTTAAAAATTATATTCAATTTTTTGAATTTTAGATTTGCAAACAGAAGGCGAAATTCTTTTTAATTAAATTTTATTTTAATGATGTTTTGGGTTTGACATATAAAAAGGCATTATCTCACATATCACAATATATTTATTATATACCGAATTATATATTATTTAATTTTGAAGAACAAATTGGACAATATAAAAATTTTTAATAAAGCTTATTTTCGATATTTGAATTAAATTTTTTCAAAACTGTTCATAAACTTCTTAATAGAGAAAGGAACCGGTAAAAAAAAGTTATGTTCCAAATCTTTCAAAAATTGGTGTACAGCAGTTCCCATAGTACTCGTATAAATGTTTCTTTAACAATTCTCAATCGGGATTATTAGAATAAAATAATAGTAACTAGAGAGACTATAGTTAGTAAAATTAATGCTATTCATTTTGTTAATGTTGTGATTTGCAAGAATACTGTTTGCCAATACACTTCTCAAATATTATTTTACTATGAACTATTTTATATAACATGAAATGTTGTTGTAAAACCTATTTTAAAATTAGAAGTCAATTTGTATGCAAATCTTTAATGAAATTATTTAATTAATAAATTAAAATATTTATATAACAAAGTTACTGACTGTAGAATACTTTATATTTTAATTTAAGGATAATATTAACAAAATATTAAAATATTAAGGAGGTTCCAGTTCTTGATTTCTACAACAAAGTAAAATAATAATTGTAATTAAGTTTATAATTTGTGAATTTCTTAGGAAATTTATAGTTATTTTATAATTCTAACTAACATTAATTAAAGTAATCGCATATAATTAAAAAACTTTTAACTAAGGAAAATTCCATAACTAAATTACTTTTATTATCAAGAACTTTAGAAGCATATTTGAAATTTTAATTTTGTACAAATTGCCTACTGTCGTAATTCAAAATTATGTGAAATGAAATTTCTTAGGAATTTTTTAATTTTACTTAGGTAATTATGAGCTTTAATATTGTTACTTAACATGTAATGAGAGCAATTATATAACAGTATTTTTAACTTAGTTTTATGGTAAAAATTATTGTTCCGTTTTAGTTTACATGTTCATACAAAGTGTACTTGAAAATATTATATAACAGAAGTGTTGCCAATTTAAATTAAATTATTTTTTTTCAATAATAATTTCAAATTTAATTAATTAAAAAAAAATTGTAAGAATAGAACCGAAATAATTATAATTAAATCTCTTTTTGGGTATTTGTGTGATTGACAAAAATATAACAATAATAATAAAGAAAATACGTATAAGAATTTAATAATATAAATCGAAAAATTTTAAATCTTACCTTTGGCGGCTTAAAATCTATATTGGTTCTAATAGTTCTATGATGCAAATGTTGCAATGGTCTTGCATTATTGCCTAAAGGTGCTTTTGGTGTTTGTTCTGATCCTTGCATTAATCGCCTTAATTGATAAAGCTTTTTATAATAATAAATCGAATTAAATTTTTAGTTATTATACGTTTTAAAAAAATTGAATATAAAAAATTTTATTTTAATCAATTAATTATTCATTTAATAAAGAAAGACCTCAAAAAAAAAAAACAACAACAAAACTGTTATAATTTTTATTAAATTTTAAAGATAATTTGCATATAAGAAACAATTTTAATTTGATATCAAAGAGTTATTAAAATAATTTTGAAATTTGTTCGGGAAAAATTAATTTTTTTTTGGCAAAAGTATGTTATAGACAGCACAAGTAGTTAGATTTTCGTGAAATTATTAATATGCTTTGGCATTGTAGTAGACAGTCTCAAGTAGAATGAGATTTTTTGAAAGTGTTATACAGATACGGAAAATTTAATCAGGGAAACGGTAATAAACAAATCAATAATAAAAAAATCACCTCTTGTTTTGTTATATAAATTGGTTTATTAATTATTATCCATACTGTACTCTCCCAACATCCAGGATGTGTTGTTGATCCTTCATATGTCATATAATGCTCTGTATTTGGCAATAAGGAACGTATTGAAATATGCCTAATTGGTGTAGACATTCCTGAAAATGAAAATTAAAATACAAAGAGTGTTTTTAAAATTCATGAAATTTGCAAAAAAAAAAAAAAAACATTTTTTTTGTTCTTTTTTCTATCAAAAAATTTAAAATTCGTGGAACCATTGCTTATTTGCATTTAATTATTTTATTCGCCCTTAATATTCTATAAATGCAAATATTAATAATATTTTGATAAAATGGAAATTAAATTTATTTCTAATTTTTGTGAATTTTTTTGAATTTTTTAATTTTTAATTTATAAAATGAAAAATAATTTTAATATTGTATAAAAAATTAATAATAATATTTTCACTTAATTTAAAGTTCAATGACTGAGTTGCGTTCATAGTTGACTTTTGCTTTATAAAATTAAAAAAATTTTATTTGCTTTTTTTTATTGCCATTTTGTAAAATAATCAAAGCCAGATTTATTTATATTTAATTAATTTATTGAAAAAACAGACAGTTTGTTGTTATGTAGGGCATTTTTATATGACCTCTTCATTTATTTGACATCAAAATTATTGTTAAACATGAAATAACTTTATTTTTTTCAAATGAAATTTATTCATTTTCACAAAAGAAAAAAAATAATAATAATATTATAATTTTCAGTTGTCAATTTACAAAAAAAAAAAAATTTTTTTTTCCTTTTAAATTTTTCGATGGATGCAAAGTGGACTAAAATGCAGCCAAATGATCTTCTTCTGACTGCCATAATTCTATTGTAAGTAAGAATTTAATTTGAAGGGCTACTTACATTTCAAGAGCCTATTACAAATTAAGTTGTTTAAAGGTTTGCAAGAAAAATTCATAAATTTTTAAAAACTATTATTGCGAACTTGTCAATACCCGAGCTTTATTTAACAGACTCCAATGAGAACTTATTGAGTATTCTAGAATCGGGAAATCTTGGAAATAGTGAACGAAATATAATCTCTTTTATGTGCCAAACAGCTGCAAAAATGATTATTGTTAACTTTTTTAAGACATGCAGTGTATAGAGTGGTTGGCTTTCCTGCATTACAGTGTGGGTAAAAAAGGCAGTGCATGAAATATCGAAAATTTTGCTGTAAAAGTGTTCGGGATTAACAGTTACATTTTGCAATAGATAATGATGACCCAACCTAATCAGGCAATGCAGTGTGTGAAAAACTATTCTTCGCCACCAGTATGTTATTACAAAATGCCTCCCACCCCCCACCGCCAATTAGGGAAAATCGTCAAAATTTTTGAAATATCTGTGAAAGTTTAAAGTATTTTAATTTCGAATGTACGCAAATTTTCCTTCACTACAATAGTTATAAAACAATTTTAGCCTAAAAGTATGCAAATTAAGTTTGTCGAATACCGTGAATATTTTCATTCAAAAAAAATCTTTTATTTTTTGGAGAAAATAGCTGAATTTTAACACATAAATTGAGTGCATTTGTAATAATTTTCATATATTAAAATAAATTTGTGTCAAAATTTTTGTAATTTTAGCGAGATTTTAAGAATATATCGAGAAAGATTTCTTTGTCTTTCTTTGTTTGTTTCAAAAACAATAACAAAAAATTATAAATTTTGTCTATGAAAAACAACTATGATTTTTTATTTCAATTCGCTCTTTACTCCTGGGGAAAACCCCCACAGAAATTGTTCATTGTAAATTAGAAAAACAACAAACAAACCTAAAACAGCATGTAAAAAACAACCATTGCAGATGAAGCAAAATGTAATTTTATAAATAAATTCTCGCGGGAAATTGTACAAACAAAATTTTACATTTGACTGTTCTATTCTTATTCTTGTTAGTTTTTGTTCTTTTTTTACATATATGGCAGAGTTACACCATTCCTGTAAGTTTTACAGCATAAATGGTAAAAAAAATTTCTTTCTTTTCTTTAAATAAAAAGTCTTTAATGTTTTTTCTATTCATTTTAAAGAAATTTTTTTTCCTATATTTTTATTTTTTTATTTTTCCAAAATCTAAACAACAAGTTCAACTTCTGTCTAAAAGAATTATGGTCAAAAACTTTATTTTCTGTATTCATCGTATATTTTTCGTAAAGAACTTTATCACTAGTTATAATCCACCTACAAAATATAACAAATTCCAAAAAAATAACAAAAAAAAACAATAAGAAAAAATTCTTAACACTTTTCCGCCTTTTTTTTGCCATTTTTTATTTTTTATACTTTTAGAACGTTCAAAATTTCATTGCATTGTTTAAAAAAATATAATAGTAATGATTGTGATGATGATGACGGTGATGATGATGATGATGATGATAGTATCATGATATCCGCTTTTGTTTTATTTGCTCTATATTGCATACAATAAGAGAAGAAAATTGTTTGCGCGCTTTTATAGCGATTTCTTGATATTTTACTCCTTGATATGAATCGCATGTATGTGTGTATAAATATGTGTATGTATATATTGTTTATGTACATGAATGTGCAGTTATTATTATTGGCAATTTTTCTATATTATGGTGGTACTTTACAATTTTTGTTTATTTATATTTCGTGACCATTGTCAAGTTATAAGTAAAAACAAAGTCCAAGTTTTTTTTTTTTTTATAGAAATAAATTTCTAAAAATAAATTTTTTTTGGTAGAAAAATAAAGGAAAAACAAAAATCAAATTGAGTCATACAAAAAAAGAATGTTAAATAAGATCACAAAGGATTTAAAACTGGAATCACCATATTGCCAACGTTAAATAGGATAAATCTGGCCAACATGTTGCAAAATTGCAGTATGGTTGATATTTTAGAAAGTACAATTGGTAATATAGCAGTTTACATTGACTTAGCTTTAGAATTTCAATTAATTTGTTAATTACGCAGAATGTGTTCCTATAAAAATGAAAGAATGTTCGACCTTTAATTATGAAAAAGAATGTAGTCTGTGTGTTCTACATGGTCTACCGCACTATTAATCTGATCAACATAAAAAGATGGAAATTTGTTTGGAAGAACCTCGCCGTGATTTCCAAAACAAAACATTTTTTTTTTTTTAAATTAGTCCATTCGGAAGTTATAGCGGGAAACCTTATTTTTGAAGCCTTTTCTAATTCGTAGCAGTATGATTTAAAGTACGTACTTTAAATCATACTGCCGCTAGTCCCGAAATATAAATTCCGAAAAAAACATTAAAATTTATAGTAGTATATGTACATTAAAAAATTTTGGTATGTTTAAGAAAAAATTTGTCAGGATATTCGTGATCACGGGGGAGGCCTTAAAATCCCCTGAAATCTAATCTTCCATGTTGTTTGTACAAAGCAGGTGAGGAATTAGAAATTTGCTCTCCTCACATATATACTTAAGCACGTTATTGGCCTTATGCAATGGTGTCGTTCCTCAAAAAAAAGACTTTAAATTTAAATGTTTCAAAATTTATTCAAAACACTGAAAACGTTCCGCTTGTGTAATAAAAAATATTTTTTTTTCAGGAGCTAATTAGTCCGAACTGGTTTCATATGGCTTATTATATTATTTTCCAACTCTTTGGTCATTCAATATTTCTTAAGTTTCTACCAATTGTAATCCTTTTTAAACTCCTTTTCCTTAATCTAGCACTAAAAATATTGTATAAATTGTTAAAATCCAAGGTTGTATAAAATTTTTGTATTTAGAAATAAAAATATTTTTCGCTTTCTTTTTTTTGAAAATTTAAAAATAGTTTTATTCTGGCATGAAGGCGAAAGCAACAAAACATAAAAATAAAATAATTGGAGGGAAAAAAACAATTGCATTGAAACTATTTTCGAATTATAAAAAGTTAAAGAAGAAAATAAAATTTAAAAAATATGGCGAGGAAATACTCAACTTCTTTTATTTAAGTTGTTTTTCTTAATGTCAGCCCATAATGTTGTATAGGAAGGCAAAAATTCAAAAAGGAAACCAAAATTAAGGAAACTATCGGAATAAAGATGAAGTGAAATTTTTATTATTTTTCTTAAAATATAATCAAGAATTCGAAATTCATTCAGAATGAGTTTCATAATTTTTCCATCCCTTAACAATTAAAAGTAGAATTCTAAATTTTTAACATAAAATTTTTGTTATTAAAATTAAATTCTTAAATTTTAAATTTATTTAAAATTCTCTTAAAGCATACCGAAAACTTAATTATAAAATGAAATTTTGTGCACAAATATTTCATTGTACAAAATGTGCAGCACTGTGGCAATATTAAAATTTTTGATTAATTCATTCATGCGGCAAAAAAATTGCTCGCACATTCATCATATTTTGTGTTTACATACAAGTCTTATATAACTAAAAGTGTATACTCACAAATTAACTATAAATAATAGAAATTCTGGATGACATTGGAGTGTCATTGTAAATTTCACATATATTTATGTATATGTTAGCCTTCTTACCACATTTATTACAAATTAATGATAAGATGGCAAATATATAAGGTTAAAATTAATTGAATAATGGTTGCATAAACAAATATACAAAAATTTCTGCCCGAAAAGACAATTTGACCACAGATTTATTCTTTAGAAAATTATTTTATTGATCGAATATTATTGTTGAGTTAAATTTTTGTCCTTGATAAAATTTTTCAAAAAGTTTTATTAGAATGGCCAATGATAGAACAAAATTTTCTAATATTAGCAATTCTTAGAATAAAGTAATTCAAATATAGGGAATTTATTCTATAATATCCGAAAGCAGTTTAGAAACGTGCGACATATGGAAGAGATGTAAGGCGTTCCGAGACAATTTCAACATTATTGACAATACTATGGTTTTCAGGACATTTACCGAAAAGTACGTAAAAGGAAAGGCTATTATGAGAAAATGGAATTCTTAAAATTTTCAGGAGTCTATCGAGTATCCGTCCTTATATCATATTCATTTTCTATTACCTGTCTAGCTTATCTTAAATAATACTCGCACTTTTTGATATCGGTTTGCATTAGATTCAATTTTCATCAAAAAATTTAACTTTATTAAAATGCTTTGAAAATTTTGTGCATTCGGAAAATTAACCGGAAATATAAAATTTCAATACATTCCCTCAGAATGTTTTCTTTTTTTGAATTTATTGCAATTGTACACTTGCACCATGAAAAAGTTAGTTTTGTCATGGATAACAAAATTCTTATATAGGCACTTTAAATATTTTTCATATGTTGAACTTGTTCCTTGTACAAATAAATCCAATAAAAATTTTAAAAATATTATACAATTTTATAATGAAAATAATCAAGAAAGTTTATATTCTCACAATATTTTTGCCTGTTAGCCTTTATTTCCTTTTAAACGCCGCTCGGTATGTTAAGCTAAAAATATAGAAAATTGCAAAACAATCAACAATTTTCTCTCAAATTTTTTTTGTATTTCCTCCGTTTATAGTAAGTTTCGTGTTTGAAAGTTATTCTTTTTTTCGGCAATCATCACGATTTTCAAGAAGGAAGTTCCTTCTTGTCTTCAAATCACTAAACAAACTGATTTAAAAGTGTACATATATAGAAAATTAAAAACAAAAGAAAACAAAAAGTTTTGTTTTTAAATTTTAAGGATTTCGTGAGAATTTTTGTAAGTTTATAAAATAATAATTAAAACAAAAAGAATTTATCAAGTCATTAAGGTATTTTTTTTTGTTGTAGGGTAGAAAAAATATAATTTGCAAACCCTCGAAATTTTATATGGAATTTTAGAAAAAAAGTTTTACAGAAAACTTAATTTGACTTAAAGGTTATTAAAATTATATGAGAAATCGCTTAATTTCTTTTATTTTATAAAATTGAAAATTTTAATTGTGTTTCTTGTTAATGACTTTATAAAATATTGCTTTAAAATTATTCTGTTTGGTTATTGTAAATTTTCTAGGAAAAGTAAAATGTTTTCACTACTTAATAACTGTTTCAGAGTAATTTAAAGTAAGCCTTACAAATTGTACGCTATCAGGGTTAATATGAAGTGAGGTGAGGAGTATTTTAGATTGAATTGAGTAGAATAATTATTTGGGTGAGAAATACTTAAGTAAATTGAGTAAAAATTTAAGTAGACCAGGTTAGATAACGCGTTGACATTTTCTTCAAATAGAATGCAGTTAGATTTATATAACACCCCAATGACCTTTATTAACTTCAATGATATGGTCAAGCATGCAACTTGACATCAGTAGCAGAATTTAATTCTTCGTCTCTCGTAAATTTCTTTTTAACGTAAATTTCTTTTTAACGGATATCAACTCAGTGTAAGGTCGGTTTTGCTATTCCTGCAGGCATTTAGATTACAAGAATTTCTTAGAGTATGAGACTTATAAAATCAATATTCAAGGTACCTATGTTAAGTTAGTTTTGCCTTAGTCGGTTATACATGGTTCCAGCTTTATATTCTAAGCTTTTGTATTCTCGTCTATGGGGAAAAAAATTATCTCTACCCTCAATAGATTAAAATAGCTCTATAATAGAAGCAATGTGGCCAAAATAATAGTTTTGAACAAACTAGCTGCAAATAATCTTATTAATCTTTCTATTCGCCTCAAATCAAGTCAGTACATCATGTAACAGATGTACTGGTTGATTTGAGAATTAATCTCACATTTGCAGTGATAATGGTCCATTATGTTACTTGTATAGTCAGGTTGAGTTTACGTTTGCTTTTCAAGTTCGTTTCTTTTCCAATTAACTAAAAAATTAATGACAGAGCATATGGCATTTCTATTTGAGAAAAATTGGACCCCTATTTTTTTTCATTTGCTTACATTTGATTAAATTGTAAAACACAAAATTTGTATCTTGCTATGTATATAAAATGTATAAAATGCACATATAACGCACACTTTGTAAAACTTGTATGTATATAAGAAACTTAACTTCAGTACAATGTCTAAGTTAAATGTTATATTTTTGGTTTATATTTTTAAAAACTACATTTATGTTCTTCTTACCTTTAAATAAAACTTTATTAAAAGCACTAGTTATTATTCTAAGTTCTGGATTTGGTGTTTCACCAATTTGAACCATTAATGATATACCAACAATTCCTTGTGATTTATGTTGGGCTTCAGACATATTATGATATAATTCTTTATTAAAACCATACAATTGGATCTGAAAATAAATAAAATTTATGCATTAATTATAATATATGAAAGGTTGTACATACAAACTATAAATGTATTATATAATATGTTATAAGCATACAAAATGACGTAAAGATATTGTGTAAATTAAAAGGTCAAAATGTAAATTAAATGAACTTAAAATGAATTTAATATTAAAACAAATACAAAAACAAACCATATTACAAGTAAATTTAAGAATTTTAAGAGGAGAGAAAGTAATAAATATTGTTGTCATTGTTGTAATCATCCACATTTATTTGAATTGTGGGTTAAAGCGTAAACTATAGATTGCGAACATTTTGTCGAACGATAATTTCTAAAATGCGAATTAATCATTTTTGCTTTGAAAATTAATTTGGCACTAAAATGCAAATATTTCGCGCAGAATTCTGTAAGGCTTTGATAATGAGTGATTATTTTTAACACTTCATGTGTGATTTGTTACAGTTGTCAAAATTTAACCTTTGACATTTTTCTATGGAAATTTTACGATTAAATAACTGAACGATTAATTTTTAATTATTAATAATTAAAAAATGTTAATTAAAAATTTTCTCCGTGAGCAATTAGTTTCACATTTTTGACTTGTCAAATAGCCTGCCAGATTTTGGGTATTTTCAGGCAAATTTCAAACATGATAAAGACAATATTTTTTGTACAACTTATAACAAATAACAAAAAATGCAACTGGATTTCACATATAAATTGGGCTAGTGTCGTTTAAAGTTTATAATCGTGTCACAATTATTAAAAAGCAATTATCAAAATTGTAAACTGCAATTATCAAAATTGCAGTAGTACACAATTTAGATTAAGAGTTGAATGTTGAATTTTTGGTGTAGATATTAATATTTTCCACACTTATTGTTCAAATTGCTTTCGAATAAATGTCATTTTTACATACGTTTTTTTTTTTTTTTACAAAAATGAATAAGAATAATTTAAAGAGATTGAAGAGTGACAAGAGCTACTATAATAAAATATTCTTCTGAAGTTGAATATAAAGATATTTCTTTATTATGTGTGTATGTACAAACATAAACAAAGAGAACTGAGAGTGTAACAATACAAAATCTATTGTCAAAGAACTTTTTAATATGCTCTTTTTATTTTAATATATTCTTTTTCTTTTTTGTTTTTACTTTAGTTGTCGACACACTCATTTATATTTTAAATTAATTATAGTGACAAACACTCCAAACCCACTCTTATTACATGTACATAGATTTTTATTTTTTTTGTTGTTTCTCAGAATCAATTATGTAGTCATTACATTCACCCATACATACCCTACTTATTTACTACAATTTATAGTATGTGAATAAAATAAAATATATATTGTACTTGGAATAATTTCAAGATTTAATATCCTTTTTTTTTCTATTTCGAAAAATGTCCTTTTACTTTTAAATATTACAACTTTAAGAATATGAAATTAAAATAGAAGAATAGATGATATTATGAGAAAATACTTTTAATATAATCAAAATTAATCATTTATCATTTTGAGTTCATTATAAAATTTCTCTATGTAAAATAGAACTTTAATATTGAAATTATATAAGTGAAAGCTCTTTAATTTTAAATAGAAAATTTTTCAAAGACAAAGGTTCTATATAAAATTTAAGAATGTTGTGAATTTATATATATATATATATATGTATGTATATGTACGTAATATTGTTTGCAGGCAAATTGATTATTTTAATTAAATTTCACATTTAAATCTAGGTTATTTTTTAGAATTTTATTAAAGATACTTTATTGAAAATTAAATTCACAGTAATTCTGACTAAGAATTTTGATTTTAATCAAATTCAAATATAAAAATTGTGATTTGGATTTTGATAATATTCAACCTGAATTTCTTGTTTTAGATTAATTTTTAATTATAGTAATTGATTTAAAATTGTATAAATTCGGATGAGTTATTTGAGTTATTGAGTTATTTGATCTTACAAATAAAATCTTCTGCAGTTATTGTTTCTTGTTAATTCAATCCTTGTTAATTCTAATTCCATTCAACACTTGGATATTTTTTTTGTGATTTTTGGATCTAGAATAGGATTTGCTGATCTCATACACAGTATACAGTTTTCTTTTATGGAAAAAATGTTGGGTTTGGAGTTCGAAATTTGAACATTCGACGGGGAATCGTAAATTTCTAATAAATTCAGTAAGATCTAAAAAACTACCGCTTTGTGTTACACATTTAACAAGATACTGCCGCGTATTAAGAATCAAAAGGTTTTTTTCTACGACCTATTACTATTTATGATAAATATAACTCTGATCGGCCGTTACTGAAATTTTCTAAAAATTGCAATATAATTTCGCCTTACTTAATATTCACATCTTCTTAAGCAAATATAAAATTTTCATTGAAAAGAAAAAAAAAATAACAGATTCACCCTATACTTAAAATTACTTTTCATACCCAATCAATTTTGTTTTGAAATTTCATAAATCTTAGAAAAATTTTTTCGAAAATTTTCAAATCAAATATTAAAAGTATTTGCATAAGCACTAACACACATACATATTAAATATTTTTATAATTTGTTACACTCAGAAAAAAGAACATTTATCGACATAAAAATTTCAATATCAGAATTTTAAATCAAAATTATTACATATCCTTTGATAAAAATAAAAACAAAAAAGGATTCTTTACACAACAATGACATATTTTTTACGTTATCCTTCTCTTTTTATATCTTTATCTCTTAAAATTTAAAATATACAAAAGTCAATACAATAATAATTTGTTGGTCTATATTCCTATATGATAATGGATTATATATGTATGTTTATAAGTATATAAGTAAGTATATAAAGCAAATAATAAAATTTCAAACTCACCTCTCCTGGAAAACTATAACCATGAATTTTATGTTCTGATCCTTGACTATTTTCAGTGCCATAATGAATGTAAATTTCCTCGAATTGATAACGATAGGCAAGTGGTCCTCCAGAGATATTAACATGTTGTTTTGTATCCTTATCGACACGGAAGACCAACGATTGACCTGTATTATGAAGGTTGCCTGAGACCTTTTTTTTTTGTTTTGTGTTTTTTTATTTCCAAATTCACAATATTGATATTTACTCGAAAATATATAAGTATGTTGTATATAATGTGTTTATTATATACGTACATGCACATATTTATTTGATAAACCACAAACCACATATAACCACCATTGTGTCATCATTATTATTATCAATATCAATTGAAATCGTAAAATTAAAGATAGTATTTACATATATGTATATGTAAATATTTTTATTTATGTATATACAGATTGTCGATTTTTAATAAGTATGCCAAATTATCATACAAATTTTCGTACGTGCGGTTTTATTGATGATATAGTAACCGAATGAATTCAGTTAACATACACACACACACACATACATTGGTAAATATAAAAACGATTTTTTTTTTTTTGTCGAATGTTGCATTAAATTTTCCGAAAACAAACCAACCATCAATAATCAGGAGATGAATTTGAATCAAATGTTGCCAAAATTAATATATTGATGAGAGAAAGAGAAAGATATAAGAAAAGAAAATAAGATAGTTCAATATTAGTACAAGTTCAATTTTAAGTACCTTTAATTAATTTTGTTCTTAAATTTAGTTAATATTTTGTATTTAAGTAAGTGTGGATTTCAGAAATATGTTGGAAATTTATTTAAAATAAAACTAAATCGGTAGAAATTACTTAAATGATTCGATTATTACGTTAAGAGTTTACCGAACAGCAATTCGGGATTCGATACTACTTAAAATTTTAAATATATTTTTAGTTTTCTATTCGCTATGCGGCGCTTATACGAGTAGGACAACTTGATGAAATATTTAATATTTAAAAATTTGGTCTTAATTGGAAGTTGGACGATATTATTTGCAGTTTATTGCCAAATTTGAACTCTAAATTCATCTATGTAAATTTAAACTTGCTTGTCAAATTTGAATTTAAAGTTTAAATTTCAAATTTTGTAATTTGAAGAAGCAATTTACCAAATTTGAACTTTTAGGTTCATACAAAATGTTTTTTGTCTAATTTATATTTTTTTTATAGTGTAAAAATTTTGATTAAAAACTTCAAAATACATTTCGTAATGCGTTGTGTATGAAGATTAAGTTAGGCTGCCTCAGATTGTTTAGTCCTTAAATAAGAATTGCAATAGTTCAGTGTTTAAATTTTAAAATAAACTGATTTAGGAGACAATTAGATAATTTTAATTAATTTCCTTTGATTCTGAATTTTTTTTTCAGAATTTGAATGAAGGTTTTTCATGAATATTGGAAATGCGATTGAAATCAACAAGAAACGTAGTCATAGGGTTTGTAGACAATGGGTGGCGATTTTAATTTATTATTTCTCTTATATTATTTGAATATTACGGATAAGTTTAATGTCTGAGATTTATATTGCTAACCTAAATTTAATAAATTTTATAATTTCAATTACGCTTACGCATGGAGGTTCTCTCTCTTTTGGTACGAAGTTTTAAACTTACTGTTACTCATCAAAATTCAAATTTATTTCCGATTTTTGGAGTAATTTCGGTTAAGGAAACTCTACATTTTTATCAAAATGTATGTATATAAACAATATTAATCGTTTTCGGAAAGTAAGGTTGATACAGGCTCATAGATTTTGATATAATTAGGAGTATAATTGCGGTCCAAGTTTAATGAAATAGAGGACCATATTTTGGTAGCCTTTTCACCGTTTTTTTTATTTTAATTCTATTTTTTGAATGACCCAAACTTGTAATCAATATTTTGTACATATACGTATACGTAATTAAGTGTATGGCATATTTTACACATTAAAGTCTTTTTAACCCTAATTAAATAGTCTCACATTAGTTATAGGTAATTATATTTATACATACACGAAGTTTAAGGTACAGTCTTTATATCTATGTCAGCCAAAATCCTCAAATTCCACTTATGTATATAATTCTACATAAAATACACAATATAAGTAGTTAAGTGTTAAAACAAATCCTAAAAATCTTTTATAAATATTTGACATTCGCTTTCAACCCACCCATACACATTCATAGGTACTTTCTGCTACCTTATATATGTGTGTAAAATCATTATTTTTCTCATCTGTTTTAATGTTTAACCCATATACAAAGAAAAAAACAAGAAAGAAAAAATTTATTTTTTTTTTACTATTTTTCATTCCCATTTTTCTACTGGCTTTGTGAATGGAACGATTAACTTTATTGTCAGTCATATTTGATTGGGTGATAAGTTAAATAATGACTTAATGATTATCAATATATACATATGTACGACATGCATTGTGTGTGTCTGTGCATATATACACATTATAAGTGTATAATAAAGACTGTAATTCCCAGCATTACACACAAAAAAAAAGAAAATATTTTTAATAATACCGAAAGGAAAAGAGAATCTTATATACAAGTACTTATGTTTTTAAAATATACTTTATGAATATAAAGAATTAATATCCTTTAATACTATTATGTATAGCAGGGGACGGGAACCTATGGCACACGGGCTCAAATAAAGGATGACTATGAAAAAAATGCTTTAGCTGGTTTAGTTCAATGAATGTTGAACCCATTCAAGTCATATTGTTTGTATTGCAATCGCGTCATTTGTCTTTCTGAGATATTTAGAGTTTGTGTGGAATTGATGAAGAAGTATCGAAGAATTATACTAGTATTATACTAAAAGATTTTTTGTTTTGTAATAAAGAAGTTTGCATTATCTCAAAACCAATTCCTCTGTAATACGACATCCCGCTGTAAATGACATTTTGTAAGTCAGACTTTGCCACTTTGACTTATTGATATTGTTTATAAATAAAATTGGCTAAATTTTTGTGGTGACATAACAATTTGTTTATAAGTATTATATATAATTAAATTTGCAATTAAATTATTTATATATACGAGTATGCTACTATTTCCTAGAAGACTGTCTAAATACGGAAAGGTTTCTGCCCTAAATCTTTAAACTGAAACTAACATTTCCAATAATCATAGTTGATTTTGGTCTACGACTGAAAAAGGTCGCCAATTTCTGATATATAGTATATCATATAATAATAATTACTCATGCATATGTATAACAGATTTTGTTAAATATAAAATGTTAAGAATTTTAAAGTGTGAGAATAAATAAAGATTTTTGTTTGGATTTTCTATTTTTCTTTTTTTTCTTTAATATACGAATAAAAGGAGTATAAAAGGAATCCTTGAAATAATGATGAGATGTTTATGAAAGGATCATTTATAATATTTGATCGTTTATTTTATCATTTTACATGATTATATGTGTGAACAGTATGTCATACTCAAATAATTAAAGTACATATGTTAAATAAACAGTAAATAAAATAAATGTGTGTATAATAATTATCGTAATCTCTCTTATATGTACCATGTTTATTATCGTAAATAATAAAACTGTTATATTTTTTTTTTATACATATCGCCTGCTATATATGGAAAGGTATTAATCTTTTTTGTAAGGACATGGGTATAAAAAGGATTTTTTTTTTTACTAAAATTTTGATTTTATTCTGTTGATAACTTTTATATGAAATGTATGTGTGCATATTATGTAGGTTTTTTGTTATATTGTATAAGAAAATTTTTATTATTTGTAATTGTAATCGAATTTATTTTGTGAAAAAAGATTGAGTCTTTATAGTAATACAGGTTTACAGTTTCCTTTTTAAAAGTATTTTAAAAAAAATTTGAAAAGAATTTTAAAACAATAGCAATTTAAAATCAAATAAAACCCATTTTTATTGTCGTCATATCAGGTCTGGGACAAAAATTCTTTTATTTGAATTTGACGTATAATATAAATGTTCGTGTAACTGTTACTGAAGTGAACCTTATTTATTATAACTATTATAATTAAACATTAATTATAATATTATAATTAAACACACGTTCAGAGCAAATTAAATAATTTTAACCCCAAAATATTTTAAAATTTCTACAAAATTTTCGAATCAATAAATTTTTCAGTAAGTTTAATGCTTTAATTGAATAATATTTTCCAAAGTTAGAAGGTGAACAAATTTGTAGAGATATTTTTCAATTAATTGAGTAAATTTTCAGAAACGAAATTGCAAAACCGAATATAAATGGTCAAAATAAAATATAGATGAAAACGTTTGTTTTGGAATATCTTGAAGGTTTTGTAAATGAGTCCATGACTTTTTTCATAATTTAGGTTATATTTTAGGCCGTTTGATTTATAAAGGTCTCAATAATGATAATTATAGAGATAATGATAATTATATAATATTCATTGCATACTTTTAGGGATATGTTTAATGTTGTAATTCAAGGAAAAGTGCTAAAGTTTATTAATATTAATAATTTATTTAGGTAAATAATGAACTGATTTAGCTAAAACGTAAGAGTATAATTGTGAATAAGAAGCCCTCTACATTTTTGGTTTTGCTGAATTTTGATGAAGCGAGAACCTAACAATATAGGATGGCCAAAAATTGAAATTTTGTAAGATTTTTATAAGATAATTAACAAAGGAGGAGGAATTTGGAATAAAAGATTTGTCTATGCATTAATTCATAGAATTAGACTCTTGTATGCGAGTAACCAGTTTAATGGACAGGTTAATTTGAAGGGCTGAGTAAACATTTTGATATTTGCCAATGAGTTTTTCAAATGGCCTATATCTTTGCGAAAACCCTGATTTTACACATATCTTTAAGATTAAAGTTTTTTTATTAGTATAAAAGGAGAGATGAGATCCATTTGAATTTCAGTGTAGAAAAATAATTTTCATATTAAGATCTATTAGTAGAAATTTATTGCATACATTTAGGGATTATTTTAATAATTATTGCATAGATTTATTGCTTAAAAGTAAAAGAAAGATCGAGTGAACTTAATAATCTGGTTTTGAATTCCTGTTTTGGCATTCTATGGGAATAAAATTAGAGTATTTGGAATTAAATATAAAAGAATTCTAGTTATCTAAAAGATGCTCTAGTTTTGTCGATTTCCTCAATAAATTTCGTCGTATAAGCATTGGATTTTACTCTTGAGAACTTAAATATGTAATTGAAGTCCTTTAGTAATTAAAACAATTTAATATTAAAAATAAATATTTTTAAGAAGAATTTTGGAAAAATTTCAATCTCTAACAGATATAACAGTTGAAATCTATTATATTATATAATTTAAATATCACAAAAATATTTAATATCTGGAAATCTAGTCATTAATATTCATAAATAAATTTCATTAGGATTTTAAATAAAATATTTCCAACATATCAATTGTTATTAAATTCAACACTAATTTAAATTCAAAATTACTTAATTAAATTCAACAATAACCACATTTTGGAATTTAAAAAAAAAATATTAAAAATAAAACTCACCTTATGTTTATCTATATGCAATGATCTTAAATAAGGATCAAATAATAATTTATCTGGTTCTACATCTATTGGTGACTGTCGTCTACCTTTATTGCACATATTCCATTGTGGATTTATAAGGCCCCAAAATCCTGGTCCTGTAGTATTTTGTTTTTTTCAATTTAAATTTCAAAAAAGATAAATAAGAAATTACGAAATTTATTCACAATAATAAAAATCAATATTGCATTCAAATTTAAAATAATTTTTTTTTCTTCTCTCTCATATTTGAATTTTAAAATATTTTGGTTAACAAAATATATAGCTAGAGCTAAGTAAATATGTATATAAATATATGAAAATAATTTTCAATTTATATAATAATGAACAAAAAAAAAATTATAATAACCTTTTTAGAATTATTAAAAGTAGATGGGTTTTTTTTCAAGTACGATGCTTATATGTGCATAAATTTCATTTTAAATGGTTTTAAATCAATTTATTTTATGTACTCGTTATATTGATAAATTATGATTGATTTTATATTTTAATTTTGAAAAAAAACAATTCATCACAATATTTTAATTGATATTTTAGAAATTTTATTTTGAATTATAATATTTTATTTATAAATATTATAGTATTGATCAATATTACACATTACTGATAATATTTTCGAAAATAATTATGAAAAAAAAAAATTAAATTAAAATTTTGTGCTTAGAATTTAGTCTGGTCGTAGAGAATATTGGATTTTAGGTTTATAATAACAAGTATTCGGTAATATTTTTGTGTAAGAATAGCAAGAGTCGAATAATAAAAGTTTTTTAGCCGCCATTTTTTTAAATTGATCTGATTGAAAAGTAATTGTTTAAATTGGAAATTCAATAATCACAGTATTGGAGATATAGGAACGAATAAAATAGTTCTATTTTGGTGTTTGTAATACTTAAAAGAACTAACGAAATTTAATCAGAAAAATTGCTTAGGACAAGCATTAATTATCATGGAAATTAATATTGTTCGAAAGAGCTAAAGCAATCCTTATTTAGACGCACAAAAATGTAGATATCAAATTGCCTAGTCAAATCCTGATCATTTGATGAGGACGGAAAAGGAAAGAAAATGGTGGAGAGCTAGTAAGGGTTGGAGTTTATTAGTATGAGAGACACAAAGAAAAATATTTTGAATTAAGTCGAGTAAAACTTAAAATAAAAACCAAATGGAAAAAACAAAAAAAAGTACAGTTACAATACTACTGATATCTAACCCTCAGTTATCAAAGCCAATACCAAGATTAAAATAATCAGAGTTAGAATTGGCGGCCCACAACATAATCCTTACCATAATACTATAATCCGTGCTAAAATAACGAACATCGAAAACTAGACCGACTTCGATTTGCTCAAATTCTTCCTAAAAGACATCTGCTCCAACAAAAAGAAACGAAACAACGTTCCCCGAAAGAAGTTAATGATTAATATGAAGTCTAACAATAATAGTCTATCTTCATGGGGCGGCAACTTGAGGGGATCTAAGGAAGAAATCTTTTATGAATTTACTCGATTCTAGAAATATCAATAGAACGGTAAGACGTCCAAACCTGACACGCGTACTTGAAAATATGCCTTACATATGATAGATAAAGATGCATCCCAATGTAGAGGATATTTGACCGTCATAAATACTCGTATTGTATATTTGTTGCAATTAACATTTAATGAAATTTATAGTTTTGAAAAAATAATTTCTCTGTGTAAATTAAAAATTTTTCTGTGAAAAAAATATAAGAAAATGGCCTTTTATTTAAATGGCTTACGTTTTATTGTAGAAAACTGTTTAAAATTTCAAATTTCCATAATTTGTAGTTAAAGTAAAGGTTCGACCTTTTCTTTTAAAAAAAAAAAAAACAATTATTGTATATGAAATTTTGCGGTAAAGAAGTAGAATCGAATTTTGAACCTTAACGGAACATAGGAAGCGTTTCTGATTTTGGCACAATTAATTTTCAATAACAAATAAATTTATTGGATTTTGGGACGCTGTAGATTTGAGGGTGAATTAGTGTATATTCTTTATATGACAAAAAATTGTAAAAAATCCAATTGTGTGCATGATTGAAAGTTTCTTCCATTAAGGATATAGAGTTACTGTCAACAACCTATAGAATAGTAATTTTAAAGCGATTACTTTTGTGCACCACATCATCTCTTCTACCGTGCACAAATTTAATGAATTACGACAGGTGATAGTTATACTCGTATGAATAAAATTTAATTTAAAATGAAATATTTGAAATTTTTTTTATTTTCAGCAAATTATAATTTTTTTTTTTTTGGTAAGTAGACCATAATCCTATATGGTTAACTTGCTGGTTTGATTGATTGTGATATAGAAGAAAAAAAATTCAATTTAATATTAAATTATTACTAAAATTTCTATTATTGCTAAGTATAATCTTTTTTTTTCAAATTAAAAACTAAATACTAAAAATTAAATTTAATAATTAGGTATTTAGTTGAAAAATTATAAAAATAATGATAAAATAATAATTAAAGAAAATAACAGAAAAATAAAATTGATTTTTAATATAATTTACTAAATTAATTTTTATTTACAAATTTTATTCGCGGTATTTTGGGTTTTAATTCCATATTAGTTTTTTTTTGTAGAAATTTCGTATATAAGTTGATATATAGTATAAAATTCTATGATTGCTATTTAGTTGCTCTTTTAAAGGTTGACTGTTTGAGGAACTTTTAATAATCACCAATAATTTCAACAGGAATTAGTATCTTTTCAATTGTAGCGAAAATTGAAATAATTTATTTTATTTGTTAATTTTCCAATGAATTCGAATTCAATTTACTCAATTAATTAAAAAAATAAAAGCATTTTAGGCAATTAAATTCATATATATATGAGATTACAAGTTATAGGTCTAAAAGTTTTAATCGTAATATCAAGTAATTAAGCTTTGTACATTTATGACCTATACTGTATGAATATTTATAACTAAATTATAAAGCTATTTCTGAATAATTTTCAAAGTAAATTAATAATTATTGCTTTTAAATTATCGCACTAAAACGAATTATTAAAAAAATTCTAATAGGGAAATTTTTAGAAAATTACGCCTAATTGTTATGCAATAGTTACTTTTGAACATATGGTAAATAATTTATTTGCAGTGCAATTTACAATAAGAACGTTTAAAATAAGAAAATTTTAGCAAATTACGAAAGTTGTAAAAATCAATTTAATTGGTGTAAAATAAATGAAAAATTTTACCGTATGGAAATGAAAATTATAATAGCTATAATTTTAATTTTATTATTTTCAGAAATTCAAGGTCTTTTTGTTTTTAGGGAAAGTTATTTTTTTTATTTTAATTGCATTTCGTACCCTGTGTGCTAAGTAATGAAACTATTTAGAAAATGTTTAAGGTATTAAAATCGTGTGCATTTTATTTTAAAAAATCCTAATGAGAAAAAATGTTCAAAAGGAATAAATTTGTTTCTGTAAGAAAAACTGTATTGAATATAAGAATTTCTATATTTTTGAGAATTGGTTCAAGAAAAATCCTGTTAAAAGAATTGCTGTGAACATTTGAGTCAAAATAAATTGCAATAATTAATTTTGACATTAAATACGTATCATTTGCAAAAAATTTACCTTGAAATTATATTGCTAAGGTTAAGATCTAGTTGGAGTTTATTTGCTATAGGAACATCATTTGTGCAATGAAATTTTTAACTTTTAACGAAATTGGGAAATATTTGCCCATTGCTGGCTGCGCAAAGACGTACCATAGACTATATCAATAGTTCGAATATAAGCAGAAAATTCATGTTCAATCTACTCATTAAAACTGAAACTGCTAAAGAGTAAACGAAAATTATTTTGGCGGAATTAATTAGTTTTAATTTAATTTATGTTAAAAAATCAATTAAGCTTCATTAATGTTTAATTTCCTAACCGTTGTGTATTGAGCTGCCTGTTCATGACATACAGAATACAATAAAGATCACAGCCGTGAGGGAATTTTTAATTATAAAATACCCAGTATGTATATTAAAAGTTTACTTTAAACATCTTGTACAAATATTTAAAATAATATTGCAAATTAAATAAACTCTGCATAAATTCTTAAAAAAAATTAAATTTTTTTTCAACTTGAATTTCTCTTTAATAGCTATGACTGAATTTTTATTACCCACAAAAATAATATGTGGTATTAATTACGCTTGAATAATTTTAAGGATAACTATGTTTTTCAATTTAATTCAATTATCTAATACAATTTGGATATATGAATATGTAAATATTAAATAAATTAATAAATTTTATAACTATTTTGCTCATATGCTCATATGCACTCACCGGAAATTCCATCATATGTCCACCATTCCTCCCAACTGGCTTTAATTCCTGATAAATATAAAAAACAAAGAAAAAAATTTATAAAATTATTTAAAAGTATTTTTTATTTTTATATACAAAATATGTTTTGAATGTATAACACTTTTTGTGTTTAGTAGAATAATAAAATATTTAAAAAAGTATAATTCAAATTTAGTTTTATTTTAAATATATGAAAAAAAAAGGATTGTGGGATGCAGAGCAAAAAAAAATAATTTTTTTGTTTTTAAATTCTTTTGTAAATTTTTTATTAAATTTACTGATTCTGTGGTAAAAAAATTTTCAAAAATTATTTTTTTAAGCAATTTAATAGCTAATTTAGAAAATGTAGGAAATTTCGTTTGATTACCGCGAGTTTGTTATTCTAAACTCTTTTCATTCGTAATTCATTAATTTATATTGTAATTTTTTGAAGTTTAAGTTCATAATTCCAAAGCAAATTACTTTATAAAAGCCAGTGACTCACTGCACGCCATGTGTTTTCAAAATGATGTTTTTAAATAAAGGAATTCAATTGCCATCTAGTGCTACCCAATAAATTTGCTCATAGCAGCCCAGGGAATTTTAATTAGACGGACGGAAAAATTTTATTTCAAGTTTCAAAAAAACTCGTAATTTGTTGTACATATATGCCTACTCAAAGAAAAACTACAGAATTAGTTAACCTTTAATAGAATTATTCAATTTCGTTAATCATTAGTTTTGCTGAGAAATGAATTATCCTTTTTATTACAGAATATACTTCAAAAATGTTGTGAAGAGCAATTCGTTAAATTTAAAAAACTAATTTTATTTAACAAAATTCAAATTCAATACAAATTAGCCGAAGCTAACATTCCGAATTGTGATGAATACCATCCAAAACTAAAATTCATTACGAGACAGACTAAAGGACATGGGGTCTGATTTTCATAAAAATTTCCAAATGCAAATTTGACATGAAAAATAATACTACCTCTACTTCATACGTAATACGGACAGGAAACAAAAAAATCACTGCTTCCGTATGCTTAATGCGGCAATAAAAAAAATTGAACGCATAACTCTGACCATACTTTAAGTAATTGAAATCTAAATTTACTTTATTTATAATTTAATTTTTTGTGAGATGCTGTATCGTGTCAATGAAAGTGATGTGAAATATTCTTAAATAATCCAAAAATATTTGCCAAAAACTGCATGTTAATAAAAATCAAAATTAAATTGGTGTTTAGATGAGCAACAAATCCTCATTTTCCATAAAACATTATTAATCATAAATTACAACATTTTTTTGGGGAATTTTTAAACTTTAACTGTACACCAAATTTAATTCAATTTTTATACCAATTATGTTAAGGACAATGAATTACTTGCCCTGTTTATATACACTTACAGCTTATACAAAATAATATTATGTGAGTAAAAAATGTGCAAGTACAAAAAGTATTGCAAAAACACACATTTGAAAAAAGCAGCAATGAAAAATTAAAATTATTTTTTATTGTTAAGTTAAATGTCATAAATGTCACAAATTTGATGGGTGAACACTTTTCAGATTTAAAATAAAAAAAAAATTATTTTTTTTTACCCCTTTTTTAAATATTTTATATAAATGTACATAAGTACTCGTATATATGCACAATTTGTATTCAAAGTTCACTTTTTCCTACTATTTTTTTTGCAATTCTGAATGTAAAATTTTACATTAAATTTAACAAATGAAATTCAATAGTATAAAATGTCACCGCACAAAATAATTTATTTTTTTTTTTTCAATGACACCAAAATACTTTAATTTCGCTTCAATTACTTTAATATGATTTTTTGTTGTGGGTGTAAAAGGGTCACGATTTCGAATGTTTTTTGAAATTAATTAAAAATAAAAGTTTTTTTTCCTATAAGGCGACATATTTTAGGTACAATCTGGCAATCTTCTAATAAGATACAGTCGTGCTTAAGGCAGAGAAGTCGTTTTCCATTTTGCTTAGCTCCAGTACTACTTTTTGGCAAGTTTTTATATAACAGAAACATTACTACCATAATCACAAAATATCCAAATCTTGCAGTTGCCAGAAGAGATTTTGCTTCAAAAATTTACTAACGTATACTCAAATAATGTTTTAATAACTTGAGAAGAAAAACAAATTTTCAATTTAAAAATCTAATTTTAAGTTGTCAACAATCTTTATAATAAAGAATACAAAAACCATTTAAAATTCATATTATTTTCATTATAAAAATCTGTGCCATCAAATTAAGAAATGCATTCCATGAATATTAAAATTTTTAATAGACTTTTTTAATGTTCAACTCCAGAATAGTTTAGTGACTTACTTTTAAAATAACTGTTATACACAATCTAATAGTACTGCTTTATTCAATGTGATTACAAAGCTTTCGTTACATAAGCATTATAATATACGAAGTACTGGGGGCGATATCGTACTGTTTATTAAAATCATTTACAGTAAAACACGGTTAAGTGGATCACGCTTAAGTGGATTTCACGCTTAATTGCATCAAATTTTCGTGGCTTGTACTTTTTTCGATTTTTTCATATAAAAAAATTCGTTTAAGTGGAATTCGGATAAGTGCACAACACGCTTATCTGCACATATATTTTTTCCCTCATGTAATACTTAATATGTAAATTTATTCGGTTAACTGCACATCCCTGTTTTTATTTAGCATAAATGTCAAAAATGAAAAACTACACTCTCAAGTACAAAATAAGAAAAGCAACACTATGTAGCTACACAAAATATTTTAGTTTCTGTCATTGTCAAATTTTGAGTGTTGAAAAATTAAAGTTTAGAAACTTAATAAATTCAATTCTTTAACATCGGAGGTAATTTTTTAAGTCGAATTCGTATAAGTGGAAAACATGCTTTAGTGGACAAAATTTTTTTGGCTGATGGATTTCCACTTAACCGTGTTTTACTGTACATGGTAAGCAAATCAACTTTAATCTTAACATGTTACTTGAAAAATAAATTAAGAAAAACAAAAAAAAAACAACAAAGTTGTTTTGTAATTCTAATAAAAATGCAATTTTTCTCTCAAATACACTGCGAGAACATCCGATTGAATTTCATTCGAAATTACTGCTTTATAGGGCAATTAATATTTTGTATTTTATTTTTTTTATATTTTTTAAAACAGAATTCCTAAAATGGAACAAAAGAAAATAATATCTTTCAATTATAAAGAATTTCCTGCACGTTTCAGATGTTATTCAGTAAATTTTTTGGAATTCAGGTCATAAAATTTTTCGTTTTTTTTTTACTTCGGTTTTTGTTAAACTGCCTACATTTATCTTTTCTATAATGAGAACAATGGGAACTTTCTTGTTGTCATTTTTTTTTTGATAATCGGAAACTAAAACATAAAAATAATAAAAAACGCAAAATATTTTTTTGCTTCTTGTATTTTTATGTACTAGAAAAAATAAACTACAAATAGTTGACAGTTAAAAATTCATTTTTATGGATCTAACGAGGGAAACGGAATTAAACTACAAGCGAAAACAAAAAATGTTTGCTCATGATTTATTTAGAATATTGGGAAATAAATGCATTAATAATTGTTGTAGATGTAACACAAAAAAGGAATTATGAAAAAAAAATGCAACAATGGCAACACTCAATCGATAACAGAATATTAAAGTTAGTTTATTGATTTGCTTTTTCATTCGTAATGTTTAAATTTAGATGGGAGTGCTTTTGTATATTCGAACTAAATGCAGGATAATCCGAAGACCGTTTTATTCAGCAATTGCAATTTTTCTGCTGAATAAATCAAGTTTACTTTAAATCTGCTTTTGATTGAATGTCCATTTTGTGCTTATTAGAAACGTTAGTAGAAAATGATTATCTTGGCCACAAAAAACATATTTTTAGACAAATGACATATTAAAATTGTACTGTCATTTTCATGTATTGAAAAAATTAATTTTTTTTTGTTAAAAATTTTAGGAATTGAAAATTAAATTCTGAATGTTTTTAAGAAAATTTCAGTAACAGTATTGCGCATTGTATACAAAAAGGGAGGTTATGTGGTGACATAAACTTTTGTATACTTACCGAATTTTTCGGTGGAAACGCACTTCTCCATGGTAGAAAAGCGCAAATAAATTATTTTTGGTGAGATGTCGGTCTGCAGTTCTGTCTGTTGTGTCGGTCTGCTTATTTGAATGCAGGCGTATAATTTAAGTACAATTCAATAGATTTTGTTGAAATTTTAAATATGAGTTTAGTTTGGCTGTATCAAAACTAACTGCCGAACTGTTCAAGAAGAGTCAAATTTACGTTTTGCTAGGTATGTTAAATAAAAGGTTACTTATTTCCTTAAAATTAGAAAGAAGTGTTTAAAACGCATTTTCATGATCTTTTGTAACAACCCCCCCTAAACTAGACAATACACATTGCGGTCGATTATGTGCTGATCACCTCACTGCAATTTCTGATTCACTGCTGATTTTGCTGCAACAAAAAATTTTTATTGCCTTTTATTTTGTAGACCAACTGAATTTCAATTTGTAATTTTATTTTTATTCCATGAATTCAGGATTGGATACAAAGTACAAAGAAATATTATGCAATTTTTGCTTTTTTAAAGTATTTCAAAATTATTTCCTTTTTATTATAGGAAACCGAAAAAATGTTAGGTAATTTAATATTTTTGTACTGAAAAAATTTACGAAATCATTTCAGAATCATTAGAAGTTCGAACAATATTTGCACACATACAACAAAAAATTTCTTGTAAAAAACTTTCGCAAATTTTTTAATAAAAATTTTCTTAATTTAGTGTTTTAATAAGTTGAAGCTCAACATAATTTTATAATTAAAAGCATTGAATTTCTTCCTAAAGAGAAAAACTTATAAAAGGTTCCTTATGGTTCTGTAAAGTTTTGAAAGAATTCGATAAACCTGCACATTTGGCCAATTGAAGTTAATAACGTATATACTTAGAGCGTGAAGTTAATAACGTGTATAAAGCGAATAAAATTAAAATATTTTCATTGT